ACTCCCCCTGTGAGCTCAGACCCGGCCCCGTTCTTCTGTGCCCCCCCCCCACACCATGGAGTAATTAGGAGCCGAATCTGGCTCCCGTGGTCTGACGAAGCAGCCAGGAACCGTCCCCTGGTTCAATGTCCTGATTCAATGAGCCCCCCCAAGGCCGAATGATGGATGGACTGAATTGAGGTGGGGGAAGGCGGGGGCTGTGTCTCCCCTGTTTAACTCCTGTCTCTTGTTGAAAGCAGGGCGAGAATACCCCAAACCCACAATCTGGGTGAGCCCCAGCAGGGTGGTGGCGCTCGGGGGAAGCGTCACCATCCGCTGTGAGGGTTTGTACCCGGGCATGAAGTTCTTTCTGCGTAAAGCTGGACACCCGAACCCCCAGGTGCGGACAGTGCCTGATGGGACCGTGGCTGAATTTCCCATCCCCAGTGTCGGCCGGGAAGATGGAGGGAGCTACACCTGCGACTATCAACCCATAACGGATCAGAGTCGCTGGTCGTATCCCAGCGACCCCGTTGAGATCATTGTAGGAGGTGAGGGAGGGGCCCGGCTCAGTGTCCCGGCTCTCAGCCCCACACCCAGCGAGCCCCACAGTGGGTCTGCATGATGAGACGCTCAGAGCCAGGCTCTGCCCTGAACCCTGGGCCCAGCAGAGGGGACGCCCAGCTGGGGAGCGGGGACGGAGTCACTTGGGGGTTCCCCAGATAGGGGGGAGCAGCAGCCACTGGAGATTCAGGGCTGAGGGAGGGGGGATCCCTGCCCCTAGGGGGAGCTGCAGAGCAGGGGGGCCTTTCCCAGGCAATACATCAGTTACGGGGTGATGGGTGGAGCTGAAGGTTTTAAACCTCAGTGTATAGTAGACACTTGCACAGTCCCCTGCAGGTCAGTGGTGGTCCTGTGCACAGAACCCAGGAGTCCTAGCCCCCATCCTCCCTGCTCTCCCCACTAGACCCCCACTTCCCTCCCAGAGGCAGGGACAGAACCCAGGAGTCTTGGCCCCAAGCCAGCCCCTCCTCTGCTCTAACCACTACCTCCCA